ATGATGATAACTTAAAAGTCTTTGCTATTTTACGCTGGGTAACACCATTCTGGTATTGCTGCACTATCTTTCTGCGCAACAATGGTGGAATTGGTGATCCTCTTACCATCTTGGCTTCTGAGAGACACTGACACTCTGAGAAGCTCTTTTTATACCCAATCATGTTGTCAATTGACCTAATTAGTGTTAATTGGTCTTCCAGCTGTTCGTTATATGCTCAATTTCCTTTTTCCAGCCACTTATTGCTACTTGTCCCAACTTTTTTGGGATTTGTTGACACTGTGAAATTTTGAATCAACATATTTTTCCTTTAAAATGTTACATTTACTCAGATTAAACTTTTGATCTGTCATCTATGTTATATTACGAATAAAATATTGACATTTGCCATCTCCACATCATTGCATTCAGTTTTTATTCACAATTTGTTTAGTGTCCCAACTTTTTTGGAATCTGGTTTGTAAATGTTTAACAACGCGTTGTAAATGAGTCCTCGAGGCTCAATGAGACTAACCTGTATAAATAAAAGTTGAATGAAAAATACACCAAAATGTAGGAAATCGCAAGTACTTTATTCAAAATTTTCTGGGGGTGGACCCTTGTCTGCTATTTGCGTTTCGGCATCAATCGGTTTACAAATTAAGCCCTGGTGGTGGCCATGTTGGATTTTTGACAAAGCAACCCAGTTTTTGATAAGGAACATTTTTATACCTAGATGCAGCAACACACCAAAATGGAAGTTAGTACCTCACATATTTTTCAAGTTATCATGCTCACAACATGCATAGATAGAAGGACGGAGAGAGGGTATTTCCCTTTCCCCTTCATCGCGCCGCAACGAGGAACAATATCTTGGTTAGAACATTAAAGCTGGTTCTAACATGTCCAGAAGAATCAGAGTAGAAAGAGGTGTACCTGGCTGGCGTAGAAATGTCCGTTGATCTTGACAATGACTTGGTCATTCTCATCAGGTGTCTGTTCTCTGGGAACCACCACCTCAGCTGCTGTCAGGTTCTGTAGCTCATTTACCTGCAAGAACAAAGTTTAGGAACCCGCAACAAACTAAACATGCCTGAAGAACTTCAACTTCAAGCACTTCAATGGCAAAACGAATCAAAGAGACATGGAAGCACATGGTTTCTGGGTCTTACCGTCTTGCCTCCTTTACCGATGACTCTTCCTGCAGCAGCAGCAGCCATTTTAATATGAGTTTCCAGTTTGACTTCTTCTTTTGGCCCAAAAAAGTTCTCCTCTTTCAGTTTGCCATAGATTCTGCCCTGAGCCTAGAGTAAAATAAGATGTCACTAATTCTCAAAAGCAAACTGATCCACCAGTTTCTGAGCATTAAAGACACAATGTAAAATGAAAGGCATTCACGTCAGTCAGCTGCTAAAATCTAGTCAGTGTTCACCTTAAACTGAGCCTCAGGGGGTCCTGTCACAATCACCATCCTCATTTTAGAGTCTGGAGTTTCAGCTGGTGCAATCTGCAGGATACCAGAGATACCACATTAATCATTTTAAGGGTGTGGCTTTGATTATATGGTTCGTATACACCAATGACTGCTTATGTGTCTCAACATGATGCATTAAATGTGACAACTCCCTCATGTCAATTAAAAAACATAACAAATTAACTCATTTTAATAATCCTCTTTGTGATTAACTATATTTTAATGAAGTACAAAGTTGCTGTGCCTCATCATCAATATTCCCTCTGTAATAAATCTGTTTTGTGTTGTTTAATCCCGCGAGCGGGCAGTTGCACACTAATGTCATCAGTTCATCACATTACTGAGCCGCAGCTCAGCGGCTTACTTTTTCTGACGTTGGCCAGTCCGGCTCTAGTGCTACCTTGCTTGGCGGCACAGAGGCGCACCAGAGGTGGGCTGTCTTTCACCCCGTGCCGCCTCGATGCAACTTCTGAATGGACCATGGTGGACAGAGCACGTCACAGTCCCGCACTGAGGCGTCTTGTGAAAAAGCCCAAAGAGTATGTGGACATCAAAATCAGATCAGATATCATGTTTCCATGTTTTGGAGTGGGGAAAGTTCACAAAACAAAGTCTAAAAGCATTTATAAGCTGATGTTTTATACAGATGATAACATTTTATACAATGCCCAGTAAAACCCATATGAGCACAGTTGTTTGGGAACCTGTCTGTCCATATTTGACTGAAGACACAAAGGCAGTTCAAAAGCTCTGGGGGGTGAGTGAGAATTACCCCGAGTTCCTCAAGGCTCTGGAGGCTGAGCTGTCTTGTGCCCCTTTTGCACTGCCCCAACTCTGCTCAGCCCTGCACACCCCTACTCAGCCTGGCTCAGCTCAGCCTGGATTTGCACCTGCACTTTAGGACTGATTCTGGAGGCGTGTCCAGAATCCAAGTCCTGCTAATGAGAGTTCTGCGATGAGTTACTCAAAGCAGTCTGCTCCTCAGATAAATATTAAATTATTATTTTTATATATGAATGTTTCTGTTAACTTATTTTATATATGAATGTTTCTGTTCAGTGCCCTGACACGACTTCTGTTGTGACTTGGTGCTAAATAAATAAACTGAACTGAATTAAATCTGATGAACCAGATTCTACAAAAACATATTTAAATCTAAAAAAGTTAAAGTTTGGTCCTCTGGACGTTCAAAGAAACAAAACAAAAAAAAAATGTAGAAACGTTTCGTCTTTCATCCGAAAGACTTCTTCAGTCTGAGGTGCTGTATTCAGCTCATAGCTGTTAATATAAGACTGAGCTGAATAAGCTCCTCAGACTGAAGAAGTCCTTCGAATGAAAGAAGAATCGTTTCTACATTTTTGTTTGTTTTTGAACATCCAGAGGACCAAACTTAACTTTTTTTAGATTTTTCTACCTGGATTATTGAGCATGCATCAGGATATCTATATTTAAAATTCTATATTTTTCTTCATCATTTGATGTATTTGCACTCATTGTGGTTTTGTTTCTTGTATGCAGATTATTTGTTTCTTGTATGCAGATTATTTGTTTCTTGTATGCAGATTATTTGTTTCTTGTAT